ATTCTGAAATAACAAAAGTTTTGATTCGTTTGAGTTCTTTTTAATTTTTAATTTTATTTTATTGCTATAAAGGACATACGACCGGGCAGATATTACAAGGTAAATGTCGCGAAAAAATGTAATTATATATATACTTTTCTTTTAGCTATAGTACTTACATAAACTAACTGATAAACACATTAACCTTCTTTACATCACGCAATTGAGTGATAGTATAGGCTAAAAAATATATTATAAGATATCAGTGACAACCCTAACAAGCCATCCCTATTTTGTCTTTTGGCGTTCCAACTTTGTGTTTTCTCGTCCCTAATTTTTCCAGTCTCGTTCCACATTACCTCACATACGTCCCAATTTTCCCCAAAAAGAAAGGAAAAAATATACATTTTTTATTTTGTCGAAATATTGTATTTAAAATAAGAATATTGCAACTTACCGTTTCTTGTGGTATTTCCTGATGTATTAAAAACTTATATAAACTGTGATCTTATTGAAAAAACAACGATAATATTACTTTTTTTAAAAGTTCTTTAAGCTGTTTTAAAACGCACTTTTCAACCACTATTTTTAATTTAATTTGACGAATTTTTGGGACCAACTTAACTCATATTTAGTACTTCCATAGTTAACTTGGTTTTTCTTCGATACATTGATAAATATTAACATAAACAAAATTAGGTAGATTCCGTGCTACAGGTACTTTGAGAATCTTCCGCAGGTTTGTCCCAATTTACCCCAGGATCCCAATTTACCCCATGTCATGGTACAAAATGTTTTGTATGTCTATAGAACTTTAAAACGCACATGAAAATGCATCCTTCTGAAAAACGTCATGTTTGTGAAGTGTGCGAAAAACGCTTTACACGAATTGCTGATTTAAAAACACACATTAGAATACATACTGCGGAAAAACCTTACATTTGTGAAATATGTAGAAAAGGTTTTTCTCAAATTAGTAGTTTAAAATCTCATATTAGAATACATACTGGAGAAAAACCGTACATTTGTGAAGTGTGTAGAAAAGGTTTTACCCACATTCATCATTTAAAATCTCATCTAAGAATACACACTGGAGACAAACCGTACATTTGTGAACTGTGTCAGAAGTGCTATGCACGAATTGATACTTTGAAAAAACACAAGAGAACACATACTGCAGAGAAACCTTATGTTTGTGAAGTGTGCGAAAGACGCTTTACACAAATTGGTGAATTAAAAACACACATTAGAATACATACTGCGGAAAAACCTTACATTTGTGAAGTATGTAGAAAAGGTTTTGCCCAAATTGGTAATTTAAAATCTCATATAAGGATACACACTGGAGAAAAACCGCACATTTGTGAAGTGTGTAGAAAAGGTTTTACCCAAATTAGTCAATTAAAATCCCATCTAAGAATACACACTGGAGAAAAACCGCACATTTGTGAAGTGTGTAGAAAAGGTTTTGCCCAAATTACTCATTTAAAATCTCATCTAAGAATACACACTGGAGAAAAACCATATATTTGTGAAGTGTGTCAGAAGTGCTATGCACGAATTGATACTTTGAAAATACACAAGAGAACACATACTGCAGAGAAACCTTATGTTTGTGAAGTGTGTGAAAAAAGCTTTTCGCGAATGAGTAATTTAAATATCCACATAGCAACACATTCGGCAGAGAAATCTTATGTTTGTGATATGTGTAAAAAATCTTTTGCACAGATGAGTTGTTTAAAAAAACATATATGTAAAACACACTGCTGAAAAACTTTGTTTGTGATGTGTGATAAAAAGACTGCATAATGTCATTGTTAAAAAATGCAGATGATAACACATAAAGCAGAAAAATATTTCATAATTTGTGAATCACAAATTTGTCATCTATGAACACACATGAGAATAGATACAGAAGACAAACCTTCTGCTTGACAAGTTTGTACATAAGGTTTTACGGTTTTACACATATCAGTCATTTAAAAACACACAAAGATACCTACTAGAGAAGACTCCTTATTATTGTGAATTATGTGGAAAAGGTTTTTCAGTGTTGGTAATTTTAATTCACATATGAAAATGCATATTTGAGAAAAACAGTATGCCTGTGTGAAGTGTAACAAAGCATTTGCACAAATTGATAGTTTAATAATGTATCTGAGAATATATAATATCATAAAATGCCTGATCTTTCCGAGAATTTCTAGGTTATTATGATTTTTTTTTATGTAAATACATAATGTAGTATACCTATGACTTGTAAATAACAAATGCCAATCGGAACTTTATGGTCCTTGCAAAACAACTCATTATAACCTAGGCCTCATATTTTCTGAGAAATAAGCTTGAACACAGCCATGCAAAGTTGTTGATATTCTCTCTACTTTGTCCAAACAATAATAATACAGTTAAAATATATGTTTCCAAATAGACAGATACCATACCCATGAAGTATTGGAGTAGTATTCATATTTAACCTTGTCATAAAAGGTCAAAAGTTTTATTTTTTATGTTTTGGAGATAGGCAAAGTTAGGCAGATTTTTTGAAGCAAGTAAGTAATGCATTTCGGAATTATTTGAAGCAGTAATGCGTTTGTAGATGTCTATGGGCTCCAGTAGCCACTTAACATCAGGTCGGCTGTGAGCTCGTCCACCCATCTAAGCAATAAAAAAAATCATGTGCATACTTAGAACAGAATATTCGAGGGCTGTCATTATAGAAAATAAAACTACATAATATTGAATAAAAAAAAATTGACAAACAATTTGTACTTGTAATGCAATAATCAAAATAAAATACGGTCATATCAATTAAGAAAATAAATGTAATTTTTTAAAGTGTATCCTCATGTGGAGCGGTCATCCTCAGGTCAAGATTTTCAGGTATTGGTTTCCAAAGACAAATATCCAAATTTGAAGAAAATGTTTTGAACAACTGCTTTCGTTACTGCCATCTACAGGAGCAATGAGAAACTAATCGAATCGAAGCCATCTAGTAGCCGACGCCCGTAAACATTTATGTTGAGTGCTTGAGTTGCTTAATTAGAACTAATTTATGTGTATTAACTATGAAATAGATTCTAAGATTAAACTTCACTTTTATGTTAATAATTTTAATAGAACAAATTAGAGTACATATATGTACGCTGAACTATAATGTTTCATTAAAATTCAAGAAATATTTTTGATAGATCGCAGAGTCGTTCGTCAGTTGTTTTTTTACCTATTCTACTATAACCTCGAAGGTCAATATGGCATTATTTTTTTAAAATCAACTAGTATGACAGCTAATAAAATTAATCAACAATTTGATTTGAAAAATTCTTTCAGCCCATTTATTGAGGAAGGCTATAACCCAGGGGTGGCCAATCTTATTAGAACCAAGGCCTACTGTTCACTGACGAAAGGCCCACCGAGGCTCTCGTCGGATCTTCTCAGTGGGTCGCGTTTCCGATCCGGTGGTAGATTCTGCGAAGCACGGCTCTTGCTAGGGTTCGTGTTAGCCCACCTGCGCCCGCGCGGTTTCTTTCTCTCGATCTTCCCTGTCACGAATAGTCTCTAAGCTATCCGGTGTTTTCCGAGCAATATGACCGAAGTACTAGAGTGCGCGGCGAAGGCAGAGTGTGATAGTCTAGTCTTGATCTGCAGTTGGTCTAAGATAGACGGATTGCTTCTCTTCGCTGTACAAGGTATCCGGAGAATTCTTGTCCAGCACCACATCTCAAAAGCATCCACGCGTTTGCGATCAGCCGCTTTAAGGTTCCAGGTCTCCGCTTCGTATAGAAAAATGGAAAGACCAGAGTGAGCCAGAGTTTTATCTTTGTTTTCTGGGTAATGTTACGGTCCTTCCAGATTTTGCCAGCTGAGTCATGGCTCCCTTTACCATTCCGATACGCCGTCGTATTTCAGGTTCGCTGGATCCGGTGTTGTTAATGTTGGAGCCTAGGTAAATAAAGTTGTCAACAAGCTCAAGGTTTAGTGTTCCACATTACTCCTTAAAAAAATCTACCTCACTTTGTCTATCTCCAAAACATAAATACTAAAACTTTTGACTTTTTATGACAAGGTTAAATATGAATACTACACCAATACTTCATGGGACCACACTTCTTCAGGAACTTTGTCTGAGATAGCCATGGTTGGAGACCTATTTTTTAAATATATAGCTGTTAACACAGCTTCTCCCCAAAATTTTTTGGACAAACCACTATCTTGCAACATACAACGTGCCTTTTCAATTACAGTACGAATTGTACGCTCTGCCACTCCATTTTGTTGCGGAGTATGTGCCACTGACGTCTGATGATGGATACCATTAGCTCGTAGAAAGCTTTAAAATTCATCGTTTATATGTTCACTACCATTATCGCTACGCAATTTTTTGATCTTTTTATTAGTTTGATTCTCCACAAACACCTTGAATTCCTTAAATTTAGCAAATACTTCTGTTTTGGTTTTCAAAATATATCCCATAACTTTCCGACTAAAATCGTCATCAAAGATAAGAAAATATCGAGCACCACCCCATGGCTCTTCCGCCATGGGTCCAGCTAAATCTGTGTGAATCAACTCCAATATATCCTTAGCTCTTTTATTCCTTCTTTTTGGGAACTTTTTTACGCACTGTTTACCTTTACAACAACTGACGCATGGTTCCTTACTAAATTCATTCAAGGTAAAGCCATCTACCAACCCTCTTAATTTATTCATTAGAGCTGGTGATAAATGACCTAAACGCCTATGCCATAACTTATATTGATCGTTATTAGGCGAATTAATGTCTTTAGTAACCAATGCCTTGTCATCTGGGTCTACTACATATAGCCCATCTTTTAAAGGTGCTTCTAAAATAGTTTTTCGAGGTGCGAACGGCGAAGCGTCTAGCGACTAAAATAAGAGCTAACAAGCTAACAAGCTAACAAGTACCTAACAAGCCACGCGCACCGGCGACCGGCGAAGCGACCGGCGAAATGTACCGAGCGAATCGCGCGGGCGACTTGTCTACGGGCACGAAATTTGCGATGGCTAAGCGATGGCGGCAGCGGGGCGACGCGACACGGAGCGGGTAGGCAGCGATATCTCGCGCGGGCACGAAACAAGCTGGCGGGGCAGTCGCGCTTGAGCAGTGTTGTGCGAATCATGAGTTTACGTCGAAGAGAACTATTGGAGCCTAGTCTCCTATTGAGAGAATTATTATTACCTAGAGATGGTGTTCATCCAATAAATCAACGAAGACGCAATTTGGGAGAATTTTCTACGCTTTATTACGAGCTAAGGTGTCATTCAATGAAATTTTAAATTCCTTGTTAAATTATAAATTCCTCATTATCAATTTCCATTACTAAAATAATAACTGAACACAACACTGTGTACCCGCGCAAGCGACGAAACCAAAGTAGTTTGTTCTCGTCGCTTCCGCGTCGCCGTCGCCCCATCATCGCCCGTACATCGCTCGATCGCCCCGCTCCGCCATCGCCCGTTTCGTGCCCGTCCCCATACTGTGCAATGCTTTTGTATACATCGCCGTCGCGCCGCTGTCGCCATCGCTCGGCCATCGCAAGTTTCGTGTCCGTAGACTTACTATGTTCAATATTGATCATTTGCAAGGGATCGTACGATGTATGTTTCAAAACCTCAAGATATACACGTCTGTCGCCCTCAAAAAATTTGTAGCAACACGATTCTCGTGTTTCTAGCACGCCAAGCGAACGAAACCGAAGTTCATGTTTTTGCCTATTTCCGTGAAAACTCGAAAAGTATCGTATCATCATTATCCTGCCCTTCTCCCAGTCACCTGGGGTCGGCGCAACATGTTTTCTCCTTCCATACTCTTCTATCATATACCATTTCTTCGCTCACTCCCCTCCTACCCATATCGTCTTTCACACAATCCATCCATTTCTTCTTAGGTCTACCTCTTCCTCTAAATCCTTCCACATTCATAGTTAACACTCTCTTAACAACCTCATTTTCATTTCGTCTCATCACATGTCCATACCATCCCAAACGCGCACTCCTCAGCTTCTCTGTCACAGGTGCCACTTTCAGACTTCCTCT